TCCGTCCGATCCGTGACTTATGATCGATCGAACTTTGCTAACTTTGTACCTGATTGGCATAATCTTTTTCTTGCATTAATCGATGCTATTTTGAGTCACATATAAGCATCAGAGTAAAACTTGTAAATTGACTTGCTTCCTGTGTGTCAAGTACACGTTCGCTGTGCACTAACTGTGTTCTTGCTTACGTAGCTGGGAGAAGGCTACTAGTGCTCGTGGCGTCCAATCTGTGCTGTGATCGTACGCGGGAGGCTGGACGATTAGTGTGGCCGTTGAGGTACGTGTGTTCCTCGTGTGTCATCGTGTGATATCTTGTTGTGTACATTGTGATCAAACGAGATCCGGATACAACACTTTGTTTTGCCATAAAAAGATATAGTGATTGAATCAAATTAATGCAACTGACATATTGCCTTGCTTGTTCGATCCTCGATCGACACGATCGGTGGACATTGGTGATCGTACAAGGTTATCCAAATCAGACGTAGATCTAAGTCACATTTGTGTATTTTTAGACCTACATACACTATTTTGTGTATGCGGCAGATCAGACCAGTGAAACGTAGGGCGAAACCTGGGGTGTAATGCGACAACTGAGCGGAAGAGTCGAACGAGGTGAAAAGTTTTGGTCTCAAATTCATTCTCCGAGCTGGAAGCTCATTGGTTGCCCTTGTGCCACTCGAGTAGTCGCCTTGTCTATTGAGCTATCCACAAACGACCTCATAGGAACAAGTTTGTAGAGTAGTTATTCTTGCCAATGACTCACAGTCTACCCTATTGTTGTCACTGTTGCTGTTCTCATTGTTTTAGTGGATGCTGTCGACAGTGACTTCGACATTCGGACAAACAGAATCCAAAGGTTATTACATGTCACATAACTTCGCACGATAACAAAGAGATAAATTCACAAGTGAGTAAAACTACAGATATTGCACACACACACACACACAAACATGCAAACATATCTATAAGCCACCGAGAGGCATCAATCAAAGTAGCACATAGAGTGGGAAACAATCCATATGGGAAAATATGGGTTTTCATTCCATCTCGTAGATAGACATCTTATTTAAATTTAACACTAATGACGCATTAGCTCTTCTGCAGATTGAAATCTGGTTCGGTTATGTCCATTTGGGCAACTATTTGGATACATGGTTCGAGAACTAAGAAAGATAACCAAGATAACCAGTACAAACTAAATCAAGTGAGAGGTAGAGTGAGATAGAGAATA